CCCTGCTAAAAAAACCAGGCTCAGGACCCAGCGGATTCTCACAGTGACTCTGAGCTCTGGGCTGATGGGAGCCCGGGTAATCTTTTCCTTTGTTTGAGTTTTTGTAGTTCTCACAAAATCATCTTTTTAAAAATTCTTATTTTTCTTTTTATGCAACTGCTTTGCCTGCATGTATATAAGCCCACCGTATGCATGTGCTGCCCATGGAGGCTAGAAGAGGGTATCAGATCCCTTAGAACTGGAGTTATGGGCAGTTGGTAGCTGCCATGTGGGTGCTGAGAACTGAACCCAGGTCCTCTGAAAGAACAGCCAGTTCTCTTAACCACGGACATCTCTCCAGCCCCCACAAAAGTCATCTTTAATAGGTAAAATAAAAGAATAAATGCATTTGCCTTTAATCCCAGCACTCAAGAAGCAGAGGCAGGCAGATCTCTGTGAGATCAAGGTTACGCTGGTCTACAGAGCAAGTTTCAGACCCTGCCCCACCAAATGTATGAAAGTAACCAGATCTTATAAGAGTCTAAGCCTTTACCACAGGCACTCTTGACAAACTGTGTTCACAGGGACCCTGTAAATGGCTAGAAGAGGTTCAGTGGCAGACACGAAGGACACACGTAGTTACATGCTAGGGGGTCACACACACCAAGGAGGATGTCACCCTTACAGTGAATGTGATGGAGGGAAATTGCTTAAGAAGATGGCGTTGGGTTGGAAGATCTAGATGGAACCAATTGATGGTAGCTTTACTAAGGTTTTCAGAATCCCGGCTGTTGATAATTATCAAGAGTTGAGTGGTCCCTGGCCTACACCTTCTGCTTTCTGTCATGGACCAAAGATCTGAAGAGAGCAGTGGGCAGGCAGATGCTGTGCGGCTTGCTGGTGAGCATGAATCTTGCACAGTGCCCCACTTCACAGTCTCCCTAGGTCAGACCTACATCCATCCAGTCTTAGCACTTGGCCAACTTAGACATGAAGTGGGCCCCTCCCATGCACAGTTTTCAAATCTTTAGACTCAACCATCAACAGATGGAAAGTATTTTCCAAAATTGCATCTATACTGAATATATACAGACATTTCTGGCCATTATTCCATAAACAATACAGTAAATCAACTATCTGCATAGGATTTACATTTTTTTCAGAATTAAAAGTAATCTAGAGATGGTTTAAATAGACAGGAAGATTGCACAGCACATGTGTAAACACTGTGCCATTTTATAAAGGCGCCTGGGCATTCCAAGGCTTTTGGTATCTTTGAAACCAGTTCCTACCCACACAGGGAGAAAACTGCATAATGAGAGGTTTCTGAGCTCTTAGACACAAAGGACAGAGATTGAAAATCCTGCATGTTTAAAAAAAGCAATCAAACATCCTTAGTCTTTCTGTTCGGTTATAAAGTCCTCTTCTTATGAAAAACATCTTGCCCATGATGCCTGAAACATAATAGATCCCCCAGATATTTGTGGAATGAGACAAGAACAGGCATAATAAGTGTGTGAACGAGCCAGCGGTTAGACTCCTTGGCGTTTCGGACTGTTGATTCATGAAGTGATATAGTATGTCTCTATACTGAGGCCTCTGGAAAAGAGACCCACGTCTTTTGAATGCCTACCATCTGAAGCTCTGTGGGCGGCACAGTCTCTGTGGAACTGAGAACAGGTGTTTGGAGCACCTCGGGCAGGAGTGACCTGTCTCTGCGTTAACACCACTGTGACATAAGCCACAGTCTTCAATACCGAGGAGTTGGGATGGTTGGGAGAGAGAAAGGGGCTTTGTATAAGATGCGAACTTGAGGTGAGGCTCAAAGGTCAGCAGGATTCAAGGAGCTCCTGGGCTGAGGGAAACCACAGAGATGGAAGGTAGGAGCTGACTGGTGTGAGGCAGGAAAGAGGCTCCTTGTTCAGTGGAACTGACGGAGAGTTGTGAGCACAGGAGTCAAATCTGTGCCAGGACAGGGGCTAAGATGGGCCGTGCTTCTTTATCTTTCTAACTCAGACACGCACCAGCCCCTGTGGCTGACATGCAATGGGGATGCAGTCATCTGTCTTCATGCCTCTGCCATCCCGGAGGCTGGTTCCAGAGTCACTGCTGATGGCCCCGACTCAGGGGCTCCACCCAGGAAGGAGGCAAAGTTAGGGGTGTGGATCTGTCCTCCAGGCTCAGTGGCAGCTTCCTTTTGGCCCCTGTCTCCAGGGTGACACACCCTGCTCAGTGGGGCCTCCACGCCACACAGATTCCACCCTCCAGACACTCGGCAGGGGTGACTAGGGACAGAGAGCACCTACCCTCTGCCTCCTCCTCAGGGCTGCCTCTCCTCCTTGCCATTGCTCTTGAATGAGCCCAGAGCTTTCCTGTCCGAACTTCTGAGTTTACTGGCCTCTCCCACTGGAAAGGGTTTCTTCCTCTCTGCAGGTGTCTCTGAGTGCTGTGTATTACGCTGACCTCCTCTTCCCACAGTGCTTTCTAGACCTGCCACCCACCCCCAGGGCCCCCACCCTAACCTCCAATAGATTGGACAGCTGTGCCGCTTTGATTTATGGGGGGTCAATGACTGCTATCAATCCACCCCCAAGTGCACCCTGAGCACCAAACCCCACATCAAACACATTTTCTTAAGCATTTGTTTCGTAGATATGACAAAATAACTGACAAGAGGCAACTCGAGGTAGGAAGGATTTACTCTGGCTTACAGTTCAAGGGGCGGGGCGAGGGTGGGGACTGCGTGGCAGCAGGAGCAGGAGGCTGGGTGGTCGCATTGCGTCTACTGAGGAAGCAGAAAAGGGGCAGGAAGTGGAGCTGGGCTAGAAAACCTCAAGGCCTCCCTCCAGTGACCCACTTCCTCCATCAAAGCTCCACCTCCCCAAAGTTATATAATCTTCACAAACAGTGCCACTGGCTGGAGAATAAGTGTTCAAATTCATGAGCCTATGGGGGGCTTTTCACATTCAAACAGCCCATGTAGTACAGTCACTTCAGGAGGGGTAAGACTGATAGAATCAGCAGAGACTTGGAGGATGAAACAGGCTCATCCAGAGGAGCCAGGCTGATGAGGCTGGTGCCCACTGAGCATTTTCCCACAGCCAACGGCTTTTCTCCACACTTGACCCAATGGATCACCTAAGCATTGTGTCATCCCATGAGGTATGTTCCACTAGGATCCAACTCCACAGTTTAGTGACAAGGTTAACTAATGGGTCAAGACCACCATTTTGTGAATGGTTGACTCTTCTCTGGGCCCTGTGCCTGCTGGTATCCCATGTCCTAAATGCATTATACTAGCAGGGACAAACACGGGACAATGGTGAGAGCGACGAGGCCGGGTTAGGCAGCAGAAGGAGGGAAAAGTGCCTCCTGTGGCGTAGGGGAAGGCAGGGGCCTTGGGCAGCTATGAGGACCATCCAGAATCTGTGGTTTCTGCCTTCCCCTACGTGTACAGTTGTTTCTGTCTGCTCAGTATGAGGTGGGATGGGGCAGGTGATGTGAAGGATCTATGACCATGATGATGGCGATGGTAACGGTGGGAATGACTGTGCTAGTGATGGTGATTTTGATGATGGTGATGACGGTGGTGGTGGTGGTGATGGCGGTGATGGCTATGATGACTGTAGTGATGATAATCGTGATGATTATGATGGTAGTGATGATGGCAGTGGTTGTGATGACTATGAATAGATGATGATGGTGATGATGTGATGGTGATGATGATGTGATGATGTGATGATGATGGTGATGATATAATGGTGATGATGATGATGATGGTGGTGATAGTGATGATGTATGTGATTGTGATATGATGGTAATGGTGATATAATGATGAGGGTGGTGGTGATAGTGATGATGTATGTGATTGTGATATGATGGTAATGGTGATATAATGATGAGGGTGGTGGTGATAGTGATGATGTATGTGATTGTGATATGATGGTAATGGTGATATAATGATGAGGGTGGTGGTGATGATGGTGATGATGGCTGTGATTGTGATATGATGGTAATGGTGATATAATGATGAGGGTGGTGGTGATGATGGTGATGATGGCTGTGATTGTGATATGATGGTAATGGTGATATAATGATGAGGGTGGTGGTGATAGTGATGATGTATGTGATTGTGATATGATGGTAATGGTGATATAATGATGAGGGTGGTGGTAATGATGGTGATGATGGTGATGGTGATGATAGCTGTGATGATAGTAACGATAACTATGATCCTGCCTTGGTCTGGGGGTGACCTGGAATGAGGGTTCAAGTGCCCAGTAGTAGGTAGAAAACCTGAAAGATGAGCCCCTATAGAATAAAAGACCAATTTAGAGCCTCCTCCATTCCTCCTCCCCTGGGGTTGGTGAAGCTGGAGTAACATAGGCAGTAAACAGACTCCCTGTGCAACATGCTTCCTATATCCAGATTATTGGCTGTTCTAGAAAAACTAACCAGGTGTGAAGCCGGTGGCAGGTTTAACTCTGTCTCCAACACTGTGGCAAAGGCTGCTGAAGTCACCTGTTAAAGACAGCTTGTTGAAACCACGGTCATTCTTTTTTAGGGCCGAATACTACTCAGCAGAGCATACGTGCTACATTGTCTTTAACCGGTTATCTGTTGCTGTGTGCTTGGGTCGACAGTATTTAGAATCAAGAATACAAAAGGGTAATCTGAAAAGAAGAGGTGCGTGGTTTTATTTCATGGTAGATGTGTGAATTCAGCTTTCTGTGTACTGAAGCAGCAGGAAACATTTCTACATTCCATGAAAGCTCGATAAGTGTTGTCCTTTCAGGCATGATTGTGAGCTGGGCTTCGTTTTGATTCCGTTGACCATAGTGCAGTGGGACCTGGACATGAGTGGACAAGGAATGCCTGACCACTAGACCCACTAGAAAAAAAATGACTTTTGTTGTTGGTAACACTTGCTGCAGTTTTGTGCCCTGTGCTTGGATATTTGTTTTTTGTTTTTTTGGTTTTTGGGTTTTTTTTTTTTTTTTTTTGAGTTGTTATACTTAAATAAAACTAATACAAAAAAAGTCAGCGGAATCCCACCTGGAGATTGTTATATTGGAGGCAGGAACACATTCACAAAAGAACCAATACTGCACAATCGAATGCATTTGTGGAATCTGAAAATGCTGATCTCGTAGAAGTACAGAGAAGCTTCGTGGCTACCAGAGGCCGTGCAGGGATGGGAGAAAGTCGGCCACTGCATAAAGGGGTCCCGCCAAAGAGGAATAAATCTATTGTAGTAATCGTTGACTGTATAGCTCAAACAGTGAGGTTCGGATGTTGTCACTAGAAAACAATAATAAATGTTTGAGGTGATGGATGTGTGAAAGAGCCCGATTTGCTCATTTCACGGGGCACAAATACATTTAAAAAGCACACTTTCCTCTAATTGTGTGTCATTAAAGGTTAGAAACACAAAGCTAGAAAAGGAAACTTTCTGTGGATGTGGAGTCCAGCTCCATGACTGGAATAGGAGCACCTCTCTCTGTGTCTCAGTTGAGGGGACTCAGGCATCTGGCGGCTGTGTGTGATGTCTTTGGTCTGGAGCCCCATACACACTGGTCCTTTCCCATGCGGAGTATCCATCGCTTTGGCCTTTGGGGCTGTCCTTCCGGAGGCAAATGTGTCCCTCATGACCCCTTCCTGCCAGCAACACAAAAATGGAAGGGCAGACAGGCCTCGGCTTACTGTGCACCCACAAAGGAGAGCCATGTTCACCGAGGGGCTGTGCAAGGACCCCATTTCTGCCCCCTTTCTTCTGCACAAACCTCTTCCAGTAGGAGGGCTGCAGGAGGCCCCATCCCTCTGATTCTTTTTGATTGTCTGACCTGGGCCTGTTCAGCTCTTCCTCCCTGGCATCACCTCTCCTCCCTGGCCTTGGACAACGATTTCAGCCATGGTACTTTGGCTGAGGCGCCCGCAGCCCCCCATCCCGCTCACCTGGCCCTGGCCCTTGCTCTCTCTCCTGGCGAGAATGGCTTCACCCTCCAGCTGCTCTGTCCTCCTCTGAAAGGGGCTTAGCCACAGACCCCGCGTCCATGCTGCTGCCAAAAGTAACTCTGGAGGGGTTCCTGCGTCCTGTGGAGCCAGTGACGCAGAACCCCCATTCCCTGCCCTCAATTTGTCTTCGTGTTCTTCGGCCCCAAGTTCACTGACCCAGCCTGGATTTCTACCCCGGAAACTCAAAACCCACTCTCACCACGGCAGCTCTCACTCCCGTGCCTGGGGAGGGTGCGGTCCTTCCCCCCCTTGCACCTGTGTCCACCGCCAGGCATTCTGCAGCGGCCTCCTCGGCCTCTTCCTCGCCTAACACCCCAGCCCACGCCTCTTTGAACTTTTACGGAATTTGCATCTGTAACAAATTACTTGTTCTTTAATTGTGGCTTGTCATATTATTCCTGTTGAACTTGGCTGAGAAGCATGCTCTCCTCAAGGCCGAAATCGTCTTTGCTGTGTTTTGCCCAGATTCGGACAGCTAGGTTGAGAGAACGACAGAAAGATCCCCCAAACTCGGGTCATCTAAGCACCTCCAAACTCTGCATTGGCTAACTTCTATGTTTTCTTAAGTCAATCTATTTTTTTTTCCCACTTAAATGAATTCATTGTTTAAGGAACTTTTTATCGCCTCCTGAAATGCAATACTGGTAGTGTTCACCCTGAGTAGAATCTGGCTGTAAAAATGAACTCATGTAAACAGAGCCATGCTGTCGAGCTCCACACATTTGTGACCCGCTGTCTCTGGCTTGAACTTGGAGACTCCAGGTGTTAAGAACATATTCAAGGTCTACTAGGAGCAAAAGAAAACTCGAATTATTTCCAGAGGGATCAGAAAATGATTTTAAAAGGAACTACTTCCTTACTCTGTGATCCAGATGGTTCAATCAAACATCTAGCTATTCCCTAGGACACACTTCAGTCCAGCATCAGGACCTGGTACAGACCCTGCTACCTACCACTGACAGTGTTTCCTAGCAGGAAGTTCTAAGTCTCCTGAAAGGCATCCAAAATTCTCCAGGGCAGAGACAGTTGTCAGCCCCTGTAAAGGACTGACAGGATCATGTCTGGACACTTGGTTCCCAGTTGGTGCTGTTTCAGGAGGCTGCTTTGGGTGGGACCTAACTGGTGGAGGGGGGTCATTGGAAGAGAAACTTTAAGGCTCTACCTACCTCTAGTTCCGACCTGGCGCTCTCTGCTCCTGATTTATTGCCACAAGGGAAGACTTGCCTCACCTCCTGCTCCACCTGGCCTTCCCCGTGAGGATGCATGCTGGAAAACGATTGGTCCTTCCTCCCTTCGCTTGTTTCTGTCAAGCGCCCTGGTCAGAGAGATGAGAAAAGCACTGGACAAGCCCGCTTTCCAGGTGGGAAAACAGAGGCGCTACAGGAAAAGCACTGTCCCAGGCACGAGACCCCAGGCGGAAGAGAATGGCCATCCAAAGTTCGGGAGCAGAGAACATTTAATGACCAGAAAGTCTCACATGTTGGAAGAACTGAAAGGCTGGACAAACAGCAGAGGCAGCCTTAGTGTCCATGGCATCAGGAAGCAGGTACTGTCTCCAGGGGGACAGGAAAGAGGCTGTAACTAGAGCCCCAGCTACCTGGCAGGGACCAGGGTGGGCCTGAGTGGGCAAAGTTGATGCCACTGCTGTGAGTGACCTACCCCACACATCAGAAGAGGAGGTTCCAGTCCCCGGCTCCTCCACCTTTGCCAGGCTTCCCATTGGTCACAACAGAGAGAGGCCAGGAACACCATAGCTGTGGGCTCAGAGCCTGCTGGGGCCAGAATCCATGATGCAGGGCAGAGCAGGGTGGGAGGCCTCTCAGACTACCATGCACAACTCCTCCTGGTCCGACTCTGAGGTCCTCTTTGTTGCACACAGAATGGCTGTGGTTGATTGCTGGACTCTATAGAAGTGAATTTGTGCATGCTCTCCCCATTCAACAGGTGGGCTCTGTGCTGCCCAGCGTCAGGGGCACAGTGTAGGCTCCTCAGTCTACCCGAAGATGGTCTTGTCACCGCTAATATTAGGAAAGGAGGCAGCATGTCCCAGGGTGGGAGAGCTAAAAGGGAAACACACATTTTCTTCTTGTATGGATTGAGAACAGGTCTGAGGCCCATACCTGTGGTCAGGATTCTATGCTTCATTCGCTGCCCACATTCCCAGAAGGCCAGGACTCCTGGTGGACAGCGGGTATGCTTAAGAGGTTGGTGCCCCAATAACAGACCCTCTTTCTTGGCCAAGGCTTCCAGCTCCACAGTCGCACAAGGCAAAGTGCCACTGGACCACACATGTGATGAATTTAATATCACAGGCAAGGTGGGGCAGGGTGTGGGGGGTGTGGGGGGTGTCGGGGAAGGGAGGTGGTGATGTATAACCCTAGGAGTACAGATGGGCCATAACAGTGAGGGTTAATTCTCTGCAGTCTGGTGGGTTGATTAGTGGAGCCAGGTTCAGATTAATTTGAAGGAAATGAAAACAGGCTGTTGCTCTGTGGACTGAGGTTCGGAGCCACCAAGAGAGGTGGAGCGCCAGGCAGTCACCTGAGGTACGTCCCTGTCCCTGCCTACCTGAGGTGATGGTTGAGTCCCATGGCAAAAAATTAACACGTGGATGTTCCCTGAATACTCTAAGCACCTCGTCTGGCTGGCTGCAGCTGCAGTGTGTGACTAGGAAGAGCCCAGGCCTCGACAGCAGCCGAGACGGTACACAGAGTCTCCCCAGAAAAGCAGAAGGCCAGTCTGATGCCAGGGGAGCCAGGACAAAGCTGCCTCACTCTCAAGCATGAGGAACAATGTGACCTTCAGCCTACGGGACACACAAGATGACTTGGGTCATTAAAAACCAAATGGGGAACTGGAGAGACGGTTCAGTGGTAAGAGTGCTTGCTGCTCTTGCAGAGGACTCAAGCTCAGTGCCCAGTATCACATTAGGCAGCTTGCAACCTCCTGTATCTCCAGCTTTAGGAGGTGCAGTGCCCTCTTCTGGCCTCCACAGGTACTGCACTCATGGGTACATAGGCACAGAGACATGCAATACACATAATTAAAAATAAAATAAATTAGCCGGGCGTGGTTGAGCACGCCTTTAATCCCAGCACTCAGGAGGCAGAGGCAGGTGGATCTCTGTGAGTTCAAGGCCAGCCTGGTCTACATAGTGAGTTCCAGGGCAGCTGGGGCTACAGGGAGACCCTGTCTCAAACAGACCAATAAATAAATAAATAAAATAAATTTAAAATGTTTTTAAACCCATCAGGTACTTTCCCCTTCTGATCATTTCCCTTCTTAGGCAATTTTAGGTGGAGGGCAGGTCTGTATCTGTGCCTTCTTTTATTAGGCTATAATAGACTTCAGCAAGTTCCAAACACATATATTCCTTATATTGAAAATCCAAACTGTACTATTTACAAAGAAACAGACATCAGAAAAGCAGGGAACATCCTGGGAATTTGCTCCCTACTTTTCTGGAAATGAAATCTATTGTTGGCTTCTGTTTCCTTCATTCCGGGTCACAGGCTACTTTTCACCAAAGCTGGATTTCCACCTGCGTCTCCTGGAGAGCTGTTGCCATCGAGTTCAGCAGCACTTATGTCAGAAGGTGACCCTAGGACCCACCCAGGACCCACCTTGAAGACCTGGAAGGTGCTCCCAGTCCTTGAGGGCACTGGTCCCCTGGCTCTGACTGCTGTCGGTGTCCTGCTGTGTCTGCTACCTTGAACAAACCTAGCCTGAGCCGTCCTGTGTGAATCACCCGGCCCTGGGTTACCCAACCTTGGAGAAACAGAAGGGGTTTGATTCTCAGGTTGTAGGCACTGACTTATGAGTGTGCCGGGGGGGGGGGGGGGGGGGCATCACCAGCCTGTGTCCCGAGTAGAATTCTAAGACCCCCGCACAGTGGAAGAAAAATGTACAAGAGGAAAGAGAAACCACCACCGTTTAGACCTTGACACGGTCCATTAGATCTGACGTCACTCTTGGGATTCACTGGGGAATTTCCTGGAAATGTCCATGCTCTTGTGAACTCTGGGGCATTCTTTATGTTTACAAAACTGAAGCAAAGAAATGGGTGGGAATCCCAGGCTCCCTTAACAAATGGTTGAGAACGAACGTTCCGTTCCGTGGGCCCCACTTGAGCACTGCAACAGAGGAGGAAGCCCCTGGAATTTGCTTTCTTAGTTAATTTTCACCCTGGTGAAGGCCCTTGATCAAAATTTGTGCTTTGCACTTTAAAACCAGTTGGGTTTCTGTGGCTGGGAAGAGCCAAAGAGCTGGGGGGGGGCGCGGGGGGGGCGATAATTCACACTGCCTCCCAGGCCTGGAGGAACAAAGAAAGGGCATTTGCAATTTGAGCAGAAGCCTTGAAAAGATGCCTTTTAGACCCTGTGATGTGAGGGGCTCTGACACTCTCAGGCTGCCCTCCATTTGCATTTTAACTGCCCTTTTCAGGCAAGACCATTGTGGACAGGAAAGCCTCTGCCCTCCTACACACTGTCTGGGCAGCTGGACTCCGGTCCCATTGTGCGCAGGTGTTCCTGGGGGACATCGTCGTCAGGAGACTCTTATTTCTGTGGCTTTTGGTCTGTTCTCCTTTGAAAGAATGGTGCCTATTATTTAGATCATGAAATTGGAAACAGACTGCCAAGCCACTGGCTAAGATTTATAGGGAACTGAAACAAGGCACCTCTTCCGCAGGTATCTCATAGAGGATGAACTGAGGCCAGGGGAAGGCTTTTACAGACACTACAGGAGGCTCTGCAAATGCTGTGTAACATCAGGCCTTGATGAACCAAGGTCCTTGACAGAAGGCTCCAAAGATACAGAGTCATCAGGAGTCAGTCAACATAATTCCATTTGTAAAGAGCTGTAGAAATAATGTCCAAGGACATACAGGCTCTTAGCATCCAGAGATCCTATTTTGACGGCAGAAAAAGGAGAGCTGAGAAACAATATTCAGGGGCTGGACAGAAGGCTCAGAGGTTAAGAGCACTGGCTGCTCTTGCAGAGGACCCAGATTCGATTCCCAGCACCCACATGGCAGCTAACAGCTATCTATAACTCCAGTTCCAAGGGCATCCAGCATCCTCTTCTGACCTCTGTGGGCATTGCATAACATGGGTGCACTTACATACATGCAGGCAATACACTCATACACATAAAATAAAAGTAATAAAACAAAGTATACAACATCTAAGGAAGGACATTCAAGGTTGACCTCTAGCATGAACACCCATTTGCACACATATGTACTTCTATAACTCCAGTTCCAAGGGCATCCAGCATCCTCTTCTGACCTCTGTGGGCATTGCATAACATGGGTGCACTTACATACATGCAGGCAATACACTCATACACATAAAATAAAAGTAATAAAACAAAGTATACAACATCTGAGGAAGGACATTCAAGGTTGACCTCTAGCATGAACACCCATTTGCACACATATGTAACTCACAGGAAAACACACACACACACACACACAAAGCAATAGCCAAAGCTTACGAAGGATGTGAGAAATGTCTGTATGTCCTTTCAGTGTCACCCTGAAACTGCGTCTAGCAATCTGACAAGGCCATCTGCAGCCCATCTGAAATGCTAAAAGAAAGTATTTTTTTAATTTGATTTACTAAAAGCAATGTGGGGTCAAACGATGTAGGTGAGTGATAAGTCACAAACCATTTCTGTCCAGTTGAAGAGCTAATCAAGTTCGCATGTTCCTAGTTAGCTGATTAGCATCTGGGCCGTCACAGGCCATCTCCCGTTCTGCTGCTGAGTCCCTAAATTACCCAGCATGCTTTCTCCTGCTGATCCCACACAGGAGTCATCTTTCCACTGACATCCATTCTTCCTAACTCCCTATGGATGGGTTAAGTGCATCTTCAGAACACATTATGTATCTGCAAGTTATGCCTTACAAAGTTTAGAAAATTCTACTCTAGAGGCTGTCTGGTAAAGTTTTTAGAAAGCTGTGACTGTCTTTGTGCAAGATTTACAGCAACAGAGAAGTGCCTCTCGTATATATGTCAGCTGCCCTGTGATGTGGAAAATTACTGGGTGGCATAACCCCAGCCCCAGGGAGCTTTGAAACGCCAGCTGTGATTGGCCAGCAATCCCCTCATGAGGGAGCGCCCTTCGCAGCATAAATGCTGTGCACACACTTGAAGGTATTTTATGGACAGCGTCAGAATTAAGCATTATTTCCATTTCTTCGGCAGCACTGAGGCTGCAGCGGGTCGAGACGTTCACAGGTCAAGCTGAACCTCCAGAGTGTGAACTTCCTAAGATTCTCCTGGAAAGATCTGGAATGTTCTCTGTACAGAGTGTTGGCTACTTACCAGGAGTCTTGTGGAGTATAAAGCGTCTTTTTCTCTGAATTATCCTAGAAGACAGAGGAAAGAGGCATAAGCCACCATCTCCCAGGAGACAGTTGGGGACTCCAACATGTCAAATCCAAGTGCCACATGCCAGGAGGTTCTTGGCTGTCTAGGGATATCTTCAGATGAAGGGTGTGAAAACCCTGGTCAAAACGGACCATGCCAGCTCAGAGGATCTACTGTTAGGTGATCAGTGCTTCTCTATGAAGGTATTTTTAGAGATGTGAGTACAGAGAACAGAGCCAGGGTGAAAGAGAGTTCCAGAGACTATCAAGGCACGAGGGCCACCCAGGGATGCATTCTGCTTGCTCTTATTTTGTTTGGGAGTGAGGTAGTAGACAGACTGTGTCAGCAGGAAGAGAAGGAGAGCAGGAGAGAACACACGGCTTCCAGGTTTTATCAAAGCGCCTCACATACTCTTAGATTCACACGAAGTTTGGTATTTCTACAGAGCTCGCTCTCTCACACATGCACATATTCTCACACACATACACATAAGCACACACATAAACCCATACATACACACACATAAAAACATACATCACGCACATGCAAACACATACCTACTCACATAGATGCACACATACATGCACACACATGCACACACATTGTAAACACATCGTATATATTCACATACATACAGGCACACACATAAACACAATATACATGCACACACATCGGTGTACACAACACAGATACACACATATGCACATGCATACACTCACCCAGACACACATAAACACACATATATACACATAGGCATACACATACACACTTGCACATGTACACACACACACACACACACACACACACATCCTGCACAGCTTTGTGGTGGTCATTGTGAAGGAGATCTGCAGTTGACACCCTCAGGCCCCTCCACCCTCATCAATACTGTTTGCAGTGGTCATTGTGAAGGAGATCTGGAGTTGACACCCTCAGGCCCCTCCACCCTCATCAATACTGTTTGCAGTGGCCATTGTGAAGGAGATCTGGAGTTGACACCCTCAGGCCCCTCCACCCTCATCAATACTGTTTGCAGTGGCCATTGTGAAGGAGATCTGCAGTTGACACCTTCAGGCCCCTCCACCCTCATCAATACTGTTCGCTTTCACCATCACTCCTGACTTGAGTACTCAACCTTGGGGAACACTACTTACCTGAAATGTAGATACGCCCAGGGGTGAGTCACAAAGCCCACAAGGGCCGCCTGGGTGAGTCAAGGAATGTCTTCTTGGATAGAAGTTGAAATGGAACTCATTAAACTGGGCACAGCAAAGGAGGGAAATCTGCTTCTCTGAAGCCAAGTGAAATGTGGAATTTCCTCTAGATGCATTGGATAGTCTTCTCCCGCTTTAATGATCTCTAAGCTGTTGAACAAAGTGCTCTCTAGAAGACATCGACCTTGTTCAAGAACACCAAAAGACATGCATTTACGGAATCAAGCATCTTGCTAACTGCACCTGCGTAGACCCTCCCCTAGCTGACCTTCAGATCTCTATACAGTGGTGAGAAGCAGGGAACTCACAGCACACAGGAGCTGCTGCTGCCACCCCTTCTCCTTCAGTGCACTGCCGTGCCAGGGATAAGTGGGGACATTCTGAGTAAACGCCTCTCTCAGGGCATTGAAAATGGAGTGGTTGCCGGCCCGGAGCTTGCGACTGAGGAGTGTGGTCCTGGGTTCTGATCCCTTCCATGCTGCATCCTCACCTCTCCCTCGTCCACACACACTCCCCGAAGAGCTTGACGTATCATCAAGAGGCTTGTATTTTGTATTTAGGTCCAAATGTGGAGAAATTGCAAAACTCAAGACTTAACTGAAAAGGAAACAAATTGGGATTGTTCATTAATAATCTCAAACCTCAGACCCAACTGCCATGCTTCGCTCCCTCAAAAGGGAACCAGGTGAAATCAAAGGAAGATCCCTCATGGGGCACTTCCTTCAAAGGAAAGGAAGCATTCTTCCCGAAAGGCTTAGCTCCTTTACCTTACTGGACAACCACGGCGTCGCTGCAGACTGAAGAACAAATTGTGCATTTGGAATAAATTAGGTAAGGCCGGGCTTTCCGGGAGCCGTCTGGGCTAAGTGTGGTTTCTCTTCCTGTAGTAAGCACTTCCTCCTCTTTTCAATCATCACTTTGACTTGGGTCGGCAAGTCAAAGTCAAATGAAACCAGCTTAGCCGCATCGGTGGCTACTAATTTAAAGCAGCTTAGCCATCATTACCATTTTATTTATTTAACATGCTCCTTACTGGCTCTGTTTTGGTGATTATATTAAAAATCAGTCATAGAAGCTGGGCTTGGTGGTGCATGCAAGCTTTTAATCCCAGCACTTGGGAGGCAGAAGCTGGGGATCTCAGTTCCAGACTATCCTGGTCTACACAATGAGTTCCAGGCCAGCCAGGGCAACATCGTGAGACCCTGTCTCAAAACATTATTCG